TTAAATATATTCAACCTGTTTATTTATATATATTCACCCTGTATATTTATATATATTCACCCTGTAAATTTATATATATTCACCCTGCATATTTATATGTATTCACCCTGTATATTTATATATATTCACCCTGTATATTTATATATATATTCACCCTGTATATTTATATATATTCACCCTGTATATTTATATATATTCACCCTGTATATAAAGTTGGAAAGCAAATTGCAATGGTTACTGCAGAACTTTAGAAACTGGGACAGAACAGAACAATTTAAAATAAGATTTAAACGTTGTCTTCTTTTTCCTTGTGTTTAACCCTATCCAGCCTGTCTCGCGGGGGGGGGGGGTTATATTTCAAACAGTCATCCAAATGGTACAATTGCTTTTTCCGTAAAAATTGACAAGAAGATTGCCAATTACTTCTGAAAACAAGTGCTTTATAGTTCTAAAACTATATGTCTAGGGCTTCTAAAAAGTATAAGTTAGTTAGTGACGAGTGAGGTATATGTATATTTGTTTAACCCTATCCACCCTCTCTCGAGAGGGGCGGGGCTTCAAACTTAACCATAGAATATTAATAATGTCTTTTAAATTTTGAAAAAAATCCAAACATTTTTCACAAAATCTAGGCAATATGTTAGTCTTTATTAATCCCCCCACACTTATTTCCTACCTCAAACCCCACATATAATCCACACACCCCATATAATCCACCCCCCCATGCTTATCCTTCCCTGTCTAACCTTCGTCCTTGCACGTATATTAAAAGAGCTTGAATTACATGAGCTGTAAGATTAACCTGACCTGCCAATCATAAATGCAAATCCGCAAAATAGAAAATTAGAAATAAATCAATTCCTTGCATACTTCAATCCTTCCCCGTGCGTGCATGTGTTAATCATATGCATATTGCATAAATCGTCCCCCGAACGTGCTTTAATCCTCCCACGTGCACGCATCCTTTAAAACTCTTATGTGCATCCACCAATCTTCCCCAGTGCATGCGTCAAACCTCTCCCGTGCATGGCTTTAATCCTCTTTTGTGCATGCGTCATACCTTTCCCGTGCATGCTTGAATTCAAACATAACCCCCCCCTCCCCCCGTGCATGATTGTGGTCATGCGTCTAAAATCTTAATTTGTCAACACAGCTTAAAATCTAGATTCATGAGGAGGTACAAAAAATGCATGACAAACATAAAAATTGGATTTAACTTATTTTTAACTCCCGGTTTGTTGAGTACTTTTTAAATCAAAAAAAGGAACTATAAGCCCTAACGACTTTGCAGATGCACATGCAGTCTTAAAAGTTTTTGAATTTAAATTTCTAAAAATTACATAATAAAAATAGTAAAATATTACATGTAGCAGATTATCTATTCTGAATGTTGCCAGGTAACTCCCAGAACTCACTGTAGATCTAAAATCATTTCAAAATTAAAACTTTTCATTGAACAATGAAAAATGTTTTTTGTGGTATCGCCAACATTAAATTCAAAATTTTGTTTCTGTTTAAAAAAGGTATATGATAATTTTCATTTGGATACAATTCAAGCTCTGGATACAAAAGTATCTATATATATCAGTATACCTGGATAAAACACTAACTATGGATACAAGATTAACTATGGATATCAGTATACCTGGATACAACACTAGCTCTGGATACGAGATTAACTATGGATATCAGTATACCTTGATAAAACACTAGCTCTGGATACAAGATTAACTATGTATATCAGTATACCTGGATACAAAACTAGCTCTGGATACAAGGTCTGCTATGGATATCAGTATACCTGGATACAACACTAGCTCTGGCCACTAGATCAGCTGTGGATATCTGTTGTGCTAGATCAAGGCCGCACCATCTGAACAATTTTGGAGAATGATGCATTTGGTTTTTAACTTTTTAAAATCTATTTTATTTAAGAAATTTCAAAATGCCAAAATATACTCATTAAATATGCCTTTAATATCTACATATACATACAGCTAAGCAAGGAGTACTAATTCCAAACTATTTGTTGGCTGGGAGTACTATTTTCAAACAGTTTGTTGGCAGGGAGTGCTTATTCCAAACAATTTGTTGGCAGGGAGTTCTAATTTCAAACAATTTGATGGCAGGGAGTACTAATTCCAAACAATTTGTTGGCAGGGAGTACTAATTCAAAACAATTTGTTGGTAGGGAGTACTAATTCAAAACAATTTGTTGGCAGGGAGTACTAATTTCAAACAGTTTGTTGACAGGGAGTACTAATTCTAAACAATTTGATGGCAGGGAGTACTAATTCCAAACAATTTGTTGGGAGGGAGTGCTATTCCCAAACAATTTGTTGGCAGGGAGTGCTAATCCTAAACAATTTTTTGGCAGGGAGTGCTAATCCCAAACAATTTGTTGAAAGGGAGTGCTAATCCCAAACAATTTGTACATCACCTTGTTGATTCTGAAGCCACGCCAATGAACATTGTAAACAACAACTGTACTGCTAATAGTAAAACAATACTTCCTCGGATTCCTTTACACTGAATAAAGAGCCATGTTATATACGGATTTATTACAAATTTTAAGTGCAGTCATACTCAGTACTGATCGGAATTAATGTCGTCTTTATTACATCTTCCAAATAGAACCGTGCTAAAATAATCTAAGACTGTTAAAACTATGAAAATGTCTCCTGAACATTTTCAAATATATCTAACAGTTAAAACAATCGCAAAGGAATTGAGTCTTTGCAACAAACTCAAATTTTCTAATCCCTTTGCAACCCAATTTCTAAGACCTTAGATATTTCAAACTACGAGAAATAGGAATTAGAAAAATTAGGTTTGTGCCAAAGACTTAATTCCTTTTAAAAAATTCAAGTTTTCTTTCTAATAACAATTGTGTTCAAACCAAAGAGGTTATAGTGTATAGAGTGATGATGTACGCTAATCCTTTTACTAATTATATAGGCCATGAACTGTACCGAGAGCGTACTGCATATTTGTTTATTATAAGGAGATTCTGGCCTAACCAATGTATAGTACAGAGTGTCCCATATCATACTAGATTATCTCCTTAAGCTTTAACGCTAAAATAAAACCTTAATACTCGAAAAAACTAGTAATTTCCGCAAGAAAATTCTTATATGAGCCTTATACCATTTTTCAAAATGATTCTCTTTTCTTAAATTTTCTGATTAGTCCCGAAAATCGTAATTTAGACTGATTGACGATCTAATATGATGTGGGACACCCTGTATATCATTATTAGTAAACAAATGTAAGTGTACAGTACACCTAACTGAGCACACAGGTAGGAAACTATCATCCCCCCTGGTTAAAACATATTAAAATAATAATGAAAAAAGATTTTCATTCCACTTTATAAGCAAGTGATGAACTTGTCTTATCGTTTATTCATCGTTCAAACTAATTCAGCAAAACTTTATTTCGTTAAACCTCTTAATGGGACAATGTCTCGTCTTGCGAAACAAAAATTACAAATAGAAAAAAAGAAAAAAAAGTGTCTGCCCTAGCTTTATCTGATAGTTCTATAGTAAAAATAAGGCAAGGTACAACCCCCCCCCCCTTGGCTTTTTAGCTGATGTGTTTACTGCATTTAAAACTTTACCCGAAATTGACGAAATGAAACACCTGCCGAGAAAACTAAACTTCCAAAATAATCTAAAACGAATTTCACTTGTTTTCTGATAAAGTTCATGGTTGCATTGTTCTTTACAGGTTTATGTTTTATCAAGAGATTTTCTTAAAACTAGTCTCAGTCCAACCATTTTCAGCTACATCATTGTTATCTAGGTGTTCATAGATTCACAGCACATTTATTCTAAATCCTATAGCTTGTTGATGGTCCTCTGTATTCTGTATTTGATATTCTGCATCATTTATTACGTATTTTAAATATCCTTTATCCTTTAGTCTGTATTCTGTATTCTATATCCTGTATCATGCATCCTGCCTTATGCATCCTGTATACTTAATTGTATACCCTGTATCGGTTAACTTGTATCTGATATAATGTAACCTGTATCTTATATGCTATTCTTAGTTTCCTTTTCCCTGAAGCCGAAAAATTGTATATTGTTTCATATGTATCTAGTATCCTGTATCAAGTATGTGATATTTAATGTGTCCCATTTATCTGGCCTGTATCCTGCATTCAGTATGCAATATCCTGTATGATGCTATCCAGTATGTTATATCCAGTATCCGAAAGCGATATCCAGTGCTCTGTATTCAGTTTGTGATATCCTGTATCCTATATTCAGTATGGGATATTCTGTATCCTCTATTCAGTATTGGATATCCTATAGCCTGTATTCAGTATGTGATAACCTGTAGCCTGTATTCAGTATTGGATATCCTGTATCCTGTATTCAGTATGTGATATCCTGTATCCTGTATTCAGTATGTGATATCCTGTATCCTGTATCAGGACTGCCTCTAAACTAAACTCGGACCGAATCCTCTACACTGTAGAGAAAGCTAGTGCAGGGAGAAAACAAGCATCACTTTTTATAAAACAAGGAGGAGTCAAAGTAGGAGTAAGAGTAGAAGTAGGAGTAGGAGTAGGAGTAGGAGTAAGAGTAGAAGTAGGAGTAGGAGTAGGATAGTAGTAGGAGTATGAGAAGGAGAAGGAGTAGGAGTAGGAGATGGAGTAGAAGTAGGAGTAGAAGTAGGATAGTACTAGGAGTAGGAGTAGGATTAGGAGTAGGAGTAGGAGTACAGGTAGGATTAGAGTACAGGTAGGAGTAGGACGAGGAGTAGAAGGAGGAGTAGGAGAAGGAGGAGGAGTAGGAGGAGGAGTAGTGGAGGAGTAGGTGTAGGAGTATGAGTATGAGTATGAGTATGAGTAGGAGTAGGAGTAGGAGTAGGAGGAGTAGGAGTAGGAGAGGGAGTAGGAGTCAAAGTAGGAGTAAGAGTAGAAGTAGGAGTAGGAGTAGGAGTAGGAGTAAGAGTAGAAGTAGGAATAGGAGTTGGATAGTAGTAGGAGTATGAGAAGGAGTAGGAGTAGGAGTAGGAGATGGAGTAGAAGTAGGAGTAGAAGTAGGATAGTACTAGGAGTAGGAGTAGGATTAGGAGTAGGAGTAGGAGTACAGGTAGGAGTAGAGTACAGGTAGGAGTAGGAGTAGGAGTAGGAGGAGGAGTAGAAGGAGGAGTAGGAGAAGGAGGAGGAGTAGGAGGAGGAGTAGTGGAGGAGTAGGTGTAGGAGTATGAGTATGAGTATGAGTATGAGTATGAGTAGGAGTAGGAGTAGGAGGAGTAGGAGTAGGAGAGGGAGTAGGAGTAGGAGTAGGAGTAGGAGTAGGAGTAGGATATTTTGTCACTGATTTGAAAGTTTATTTGTCTTGCAGATTGCAGAATACAATTTTAAATTGTTTATTTGAAAAGCTTGATGTCTTTTTTATAACTCAAATTTTCTAATCCATATAACTTTACAATCTGTTGGTGTAGACCTTTGATATTTCAAACTTTGATTATTTTATTCAACAGAATTTAAAGTTAGAAATATCTAATGTCTACGACATTGGATTGCAAAGATAAAGAAATTAGAAAATCAGAGTTTGTGGCGAAGACTCAATTCCTTTATGTTTTATTATAAAAAAGTTTTTAACCAGAAGACGACATTTTGGATCTTTTCATTTCGTCTGTTTTTATTCAACCTTTTTAATCAACGTTTTAAAAACATTTTCAGGTCTGGGTCAGTTGTTTACCACGATCAAATAGATTATTACTATGTTCCACAATTCACATATCTTTCAGTATTTTTGGCAACCAATTCTTCAGGTATTGCTACTATAGTGAAGTTCAAATTATTAAACGATAAATTTTAAGATTTAAATATTTTTTTTGCTATTCTATGGTTTTCATACATGTTTTAGATATTATAAATAAATTTACAAATATGTTATATCTATATTTTGTTTCTTAAGAAGTTTGTGTTTGAGATAAGGTTTGTTTTCTTTAAGATATTGTATTTCCTTTATCTAAAGGTTTTCTTTACTATTAAGTTTTAAGTTCACACAATTTGAGTATAAACTAAATTATTTTCTAAATTCTAACTTGGAAAATAACTTGATTTCTTTTTTTTTTAGTCTTTACAAAATTCTAAATATTTGGATTTTCCCTTTAAGTCTGTTTTCCAACAAATATGAGTTAAAAGTGTTCAGTTCAGAGTTTAATACTGATGAAGGAAACATCACTGCTAATCCTTGTCCTGCAGCAGGGAATACAGCTGGATTTAACCATACCAGAGGAGATCTTATCTTTAATGAAGAGTTTGATACGATTGATGAATCTCGGTGGACTCATTGGATCTCTGGTTGGAGAGGAGGAAACTGGGAGTTTCAGTACTACAGGAACAACAGGAAGAACAGTTATACCAAGGATGGATATTTATTCATCAAACCTTCCTTAACAGCAGATGAGTATGGAGAAGATTTTCTTTATAATGGAGAACTCAGTCTGTGGGAAGAAGGATGTACAGATTCATGGAATATTGACGGGGGCTGTGTTATTCACTCCGGTGGAGATAACATTGTTAATCCGATTCAATCTGCTAAACTTGTTTCTAAGGATAAATTTCACTTTAAATGTGGAACTGTCGAAATCAGAGCCAAACTGCCTAAAGGAGATTGGCTTTGGCCAGCTCTTTGGCTCATGCCTAAAGATTCCAAATATGGAGGTTGGCCAAGATCTGGAGAAATTGACATGTGTGAGTCTCGAGGTAATGAAGACTTAAACTGTAATGGTGTTGCACAGGGTAGACAGCTAGCAGGTTCTACGCTGCACTGGGGCCCGGATCCAGGTAGTAATGGTTTCATGAAAACATCATGGTGGACTGTTAATGAGGAAAACGATTTTAGCAGTGACTTTCACCTCTACCGACTGGAGTGGAATGAGGACGGAATTAGCTCCTTTATGGATGACAATTACATCGGAGGTGTTTATCCTCCTGAGGGTGGATTCTGGGAGTTTTGAGATTTCAACGGAGACAATCCTTGGAAAGATGGAACTAAAATGGCACCCTTTGATTCAGATTTTTACTTTATTTTGAACGTAGCTGTTGGAGGGAACTTCTTCCCAGATGGTTGTTACAATGCTAATGGTGAGAAGCCCTGGCAAAGTGGGAATGTTCCTGGATCCAAGAAGAGCTTCTGGGAGTCAAGCAGGGACTGGATTCCAACCTGGAATATAGATACAGAGGACGGGGCTTTACAGATAGACTACATCAAGGTCTGGAGTTTGTAGAGTTATGTTTTACATATCTATATAAATAATCTTTTTGTTTGATTACTTGTTTGTATTCAATAAACGTCAAAACAGCTTTATAGCCAATCCGGCCCAAATTACCCCCAGAGAAGGTTTATAAATATACAGGGTTCCCACAAAGAATAATTCTATAATGATGACCTGAAACCAAAGAGAATAGAATATATATTAGAGGGGAATTTACTAGAAAAAAGTGTAAAACGGCAATTTTGTTGTACTGTTTCCATACTGCAGGTGTACTTCACATATTTATGCTATATAACCTTTTGGGCCCTGGAACATCATTTTATAGAAAATCTAAAATTAATGTTAAAAGAAAACCAAATTATGAAATAGGCTGGTATCATAATTGACCAATGATCATTTTACATAGACTCTATGCCTTTCACTTTATAAACGATGATTTTCCGTTATAACTATAAATCAAATGATGTTTTTTATTCACCTAATTCATTATAAAGTTTATTTAACCGCTTTAAAAAATTCGAAATTGAAATGAATATCTAGGGAACATACTGTATTAATGTACTATACTAAATATAATTTGTGAACATTTACATGATTTGTACACTTTTAACTCCCTTTCAGGCTGAAAGGGACTGAAAAAAATCATACCGAGTGATTCTTTAAATTCCCCTCTAATATATATTCTATTCTCTATGCCTGAAACTGTTTCACAGTAATTAATCCCGTTCATTTGAAATACCGAACCAACTTTCAGACATTAGCTAGGGCAATACATGCAGACCAAATAAATCATCTTCTTCTTGTGAGATTATTTTTTTTAAATATAACTATCTAAAGGTTTGAGTTTGTTAGAAATGTCGAATATTATAAAGTTCTAGTTTAAGTTTTATAGTAAAAAAGGTCATGCTAATTGTTTTACTATTTATAAATGTTAAATTTTAAAATTTGGTTTACTTGTTTTAATTAATTCTTTCAGGGTACAAGACGTAATTCCCAATCCCTCTCTAAAATGGCCTAATTAATTTTGCCTCATATAATGTATTATTTACTGTATAGCTTGCTCAAGCTGCTTGAAAGTCGGCCCGGTACATGAAATGAACCTGAGTATACAGTGTATTGTCTACCTACACTGTTTTAAAAAATCAATTAAATATATAATATTTGAGTTTCTGGTTAGTCATAGTTATTCACAGCAATTAAACATGGAATTAAAAGTAATATTTTACTTTGACAGAGGTTCCCGTTTTGTAATTTCCACAAAAAGTAGTTGAACACAATTTTATTGGCACAATATTTTTTTGGGGCAGAGCATTTCAAGTGGTTCAAACGGTCAAAGTAGTTCAAGGGATTCAAATGGCTCAAGTTGTTCAAGTGGTTCAAAGGGTTAAAGTAGTTCAAGGGGTTCAAGTAGTTCAAGGGGTTCAAGTGGTTCAAGGGGTTCAAGTGGTTCAAGGGGTTCAAGGGGTTCAAGTAGTTCAAGGGGTTCAAGTGGTTCAAGGGGTTAAAGTAGTTCAAAAGGGGTTCAAGTGGTTCAAGGGGTTCAAGTGGTTCAAGGGGTTCAAGTGGTTCAAGGGGTTCAAGTAGTTCAAGGGGTTCAAGTGGTTCAAGTGAATAACCAAATACATATTTTGATAAGGAATGAGAGAGGGTTTAAACCGTATACATAACAGAGGTATGTTTACAGAGCCTCGGAACCTTAATCGATGAACATTAAGAATTTATTCCCGGACCTTTTCATAGTCTAACACTATATAGTATAGAGTAGACTGTAGAGTAGCCTGTAATGTACTCTTTATATTAGAACACACCAACTATAATTACAGTTATGTACTCCTTATATTAGAACACACCAACGATAATTACAGTTATGTACTCATAATATTAAAACACACCATCGATAATTACAGTTATGTACACCTTATATTAGAACACACCGACGATAATTACAGTTATGTACTCATAATATTAAAACAAACCAACGATAATTACAGTTATGTACTCTTTATATTTGAACACACCAACTATAATTACAGTTATGTACTCTTTATATTTGAACACACCAACTATAATTACAGTTAAGTACTCTTTATATTTGAACACACCAACTATAATTACAGTTATGTACTCTTTATATTAGAACACACCAACTCGATAATTACAGTTATGTACACCTTATATTAGAACACACCGACGATAATTACAGTTATGTACTCATAATATTAAGAACACACCAACGATAATTACAGTTATGTACTCTTTATATTTGAACACACCAACGATAATCACAGTCATGTACACTTTATATTAGAACACATCAACGATAATTACAGTTATGTACTCTTAATATTATAACACACCAACGATAATTACAGTTATGTACTCTTAATATTAGAACACACCAACGATAATTACAGTTATGTACTCTTTATATTAGAACACACCAACGATAATAACAGTTATGTACTCTTTATATTTGAACACACCAACGATAATCACAGTTATGTACACTTTATATTAGAACACACCAACAATAATTACAGTTATGTACTCTTTATATTAGAACACACCAACTATAATTACAGTTATGTACTCTTTATATTAGAACACACCAACGATAATTACAGTTATGTACTCTTTATATTAGAACATACCAACTATAATTACAGTTATGTACTTATAATATTTGAACACACCAACTATAATTACAGTTATGTACTCTTAATATTATAACACACCAACGATAATTACAGTTATGTACTCTTAATATTAGAACACACCAGCGATAATTACAGTTATGTACACTTTATATTATAACACACCAACGATAATTACAGTTATGTACTCTTTATATTATAACACACCAACGATAATTACAGTTATGTACTCTTTATATTAGAACATACCAACGATAATTACAGTTATGTACTCTTAATATTATAACACACCAACGATAATTACAGTTATGTACTCTTTATAATCGAACACACCAACGATAATTACAGTTATGTACACTTTATATTATAACACACCAACGATAATTACAGTTATGTACTCTTAATATTAGAACATACCAACGATAATTACAGTTATGTACTCTTAATATTATAACACACCAACGATAATTACAGTTATGTACTCTTTATAATCGAACACACCAACGATAATTACAGTTATGTACTCTTAATATTATAACACACCAACAATAATTACAGTTATGTACTCTTTATATTAGAACACACCAACTATAATTACAGTTATGTACTCTTTATATTAAAACACACCAACGATAATTACAGTTATGTACTCTTAATATTATAACACACCAACAATAATTACAGTTATGTACTCTTTATATTATAACACACCAACGATAATTACAGTTATGTACACTTTATATTATAACACACCAACGATAATCACAGTTATGTACTCTTTATATTAGAACATACCAACGATAATGAATGTTCGCAAATCCCCAAAAGGTTCAGGACAATAAGTTGTACGAAAAGTGACTGTTATTAAGCATGTGACTTGTGATCATGAAAAGTTTTTATTTTAGCATTCTTTTGTAACATTCATATAAATAACATTCACCCGGAATTCTAGGTTTCGTTCTAATGAATTCGCGGCTTTTGTTTACGGAATATTTAGGGTTTCCACCTTGAGCGCAATTGTGAGCCCTGTAAACTCCACACAATTCCGCGCAATTCCACGCAAAGAACTGTAAATTTTCCCCTTGGACTCTTGCTTTAACGTTCTAAACCTTATCGTTGCAACCTAATGATGTTAATCTTTGATATATTTGAAAATACTTTGAATTTTTGACCCAGAAAAAACTGGTCTACGACATCAGGTTCAGTAGATATATAGACAAATATTAGTCTATGATGTCGCTTTAAAAAATGGAAGAAAAACGTTCAAATTCAGCCCCCTCCCCACATTGAAAGTTATAAAAGGTTACGGACACCCCCTGGAAAAAATCCTGTTTACGCCCATGAAAAAGGTAGTAGACACCAAGAAAGTTTTTATTATTGTTTCAAGAACCATAGTAGGAGGAATAGTAAAATGTAGGTTTTTTTTCTCTGGTTTTTAAGATAAATTTAATTGTAAAAAAGAATCAAATTTTTCAGGGTTCTTGGGTTCAGGTACCTTGGGTAAAAGAGTCATGAAGAAAACGAATTATTTGCCCCTGTATTACATAATAATTCTGCAATCCCATTTTTTTATAAACACCATTTAAAGGTCCAAACTGACTTTAAAATTATATTCTAGAGCACTTGTTCAAAAAATGGAAATACTAAATTATTTTAAAGGTATATGGTAATACGGGGCAAATCTAAGATACTCAATTATCTGTTTAGGCTGCAGTACAACTACACCAAATATAATTCGTTCTCTTTGTAATTTGTTTACCCAAGGTAGCATGGTACCGTACCTGGAAGAACCAGCTTAGGTTAGATTTTTTGTTAAAATTATTTCTAAGATCAAAGACGATCTTCGAACCGTCTCTCAACTAAGATCAAAGACATCTTCAAATCGTCTCTCAACTGAGATCAAAGACATCTTCAAATCGTCTCTCAACTAAGATCAAAGATGATCTTCATATCGTCTCTTAACTAAGATCAAAGACGATTCTAAGACGATCTTCAGATCGTCTCTCAACTAAGATCAAAGACGATATTCAAATCGTTTCTCAACTAAGATCAAAGAATTTCTTCTAATCGTCTCTCAACTAATATCAAATAAGATCATCTAATTGTCTCTCAACTAAGATCAAAGAAAATCTTCTAATTGTCTCTCAACTAAGATCAAAGAAGATTTTCTAATTGTCTCTCAAATAAGATCAAAGAAGATCTTCTAATTGTCTCTCAACTAAGATCAAAGAAGATTTTCTAATTGTCTCTCAAATAAGATCAAAGATGATCTTCAAATCTTCTCTCAAGTAAGATCAAAGACGATATTCAAATCGTCGCTCAACTAAGTTTCCTGCAGGGGCATCCTGTTTAAAACCAGTAAGTAATATATTGAGAAGAAATATGAAAGGACTAAAAACTGAGGAGAAAGGATCGGGATATATCGGTCTAGTATTCGGGAATTTC